GTCACTTTCCTTACCTGCAATTGCTATTCATATTGTCCTTATATGAAACTTATACTAATAGTGACACCGCCAATGTAACCATTAAGGTTTACAACAATAGCAAATTACGAAGAAGAACGAAACTATTTGCTATTGTTGTAAACATTAATGGTTACATTGGCGGTGTCACTATTATTGACTGTTAAAGTAACACCTTGTTGAATTATATACTTTACCTTAAATGATCGATTGTGAGTAAAATAGTATACAAACCTCGCTGGTCAGTGGTTCATAACCAACGCCTCGCGCTTATACCTCACCTCCGCGCTTCGCGCGTCGGTGAGGTACCTTAAGCCCTCGGGGTAGGTAATGAACCACCTCCCAGCTCGGTATGTAATCTACTATTATTTACTTTAAGAGATTTGTACACGACTGGCGCCGAAAATTATGAGCTTTGTCAAACCTCGGTGGTTGTTTCATCAAAAGACCCGTCTCCCCTGGCTATTTGGCCAATTCCCTTGTCTTTCTCGAGGTCCCGCTGCAAAATAACGGAAATGTGGAGCGTAATTGAGAAGTGCGACATTTTTTACAAATTATTTTTGTCTGGCTATTTGCAATTTCTGCGATCATTGCATCCTTCTGATTCAGAATCGTCACCTGATTCTGCACAAGTACGTATTTTTAAAAGCGTATACCGTCAAGTACTCGTAGGACTATTGTAGAAGCATACCGAGATTCCTGACTATGAAAACTGAGGTTGATTGCCATTAAAACCACGGAACTTTGACAGAAAATGACAAACGTATTTATATTTTATTACAAGTGACAGTTCGTTGCCTACTTTACAAAAACTAAATATGGATATACGTTCTCAATTACTAACAAAAGCAACCGGCCAAATTCTCATTATTAAATAAACGAGGGTGTTACTGGTGACGAAAAGTATAAATAGCAAAAATGATGTAGCAGGTCTAAAAACAACTTGATATTATGTTATTGCTACGCAATACGCAAAGAACCCTTTGAAACGCACCATTACAGAAAGCTCTTGTGGGAGTAGGTCGGCTTTTAGACCGACGCGCTGTTTGATGTAATATTAAATAAGATTTCGTTCTAATTGAATTTAGCGGAAGGACTTAATTTAATTTTGACCAACTTGTGTTAACTCAATAATATTTATATTTATTTTGCAACAATTAAATGATTAGCAAGTAATAATTCGTGTGGTCCGAGCAAACTTTTACTTTAATTCGAATATATTATAATCTAGCTACCCCTCGGGAACGGAGCATGTTGGAGGGGTGGGGATAAGATAAATCAACATAATTTTGGATATCTAACTTAAATCGTTATTCAATCGCTTTTACAAAGTTAGAAGAAACTCCCATGTACAACAACTGTGCCTTTTTCCCTACGAAAAAACCCAGTTCCCCACAACTAGTTTAAATTATTTAACAGAAATTCCCAACCGAAATTAGCAAAGCAAATTTCTCTCGGTAATAAATTAAACTGCAACTACACAAGTCGGTGCACTCGTGTATTTTGAATGCAGCTGAAACATCTCGCTGGGTTCTCTCGCTCTCGACGCCGTTTTCCATCTTGACCATTTTCGAGAGCAAAATGCGGCTAATCTACTTGCTTCAGAATTGGGAATGGTGTTTAGTTTTATTTGCTAAACAAATGACCATTATAGAAACTACTGTAGTAATACTAGGGGAATTTAATTTCAATGTTGTCCGAGAGGTTAAGTTCTCTACATGCAAATCCGTTTGCGTACCATAAATTAATTATAAAAGCTTGGGACAGTTTCTGTTAACGAAGCGACTATGATTATTTATGTTGTTATTGCTAAACAATTCTATAGGCTTACAAGCTGCGGGTAAAAGAAAATGGTGATGTTTAAGGGGCGGAAGTGGTCAGAAATTGCATGCTCGATTGTAATGTTTATCCCCTAGAGAACACGTAGTTCAGTAAAGAAGTATAGCTTACCTATAAACGTACAACCCCTTTATATTTAAAAGGCACACTCGTCAATAAATTGTCAGAGGCTGACCTTTTCTGATTAATGCCATGTTGAGCGACAGCTGACCGCCATAAAATAGTTTTTATGGTGTCGTTACGCATGTTATTATTTATATTTTTTATGATATGTTTATACACATCCGAAAGACTGCCATTTATATGTACTCAGCCGATACCTCTCTTTTTATAGGGCATTGGTTATAAAGTAATAATTCGAAGGGAGCCATTCTAGCCAATAATTCAGTAAGTAACGCGTGTGATTGACATAATCCATTAGGAATCGGGTAATTTTGTATTTAGTGCATAAAAATTTTGTGAACCACTAATTCGACAGCCTTTCGACACACGATAAACTAAATTAAATATGTATTAAAAGGGGTACATTTGAAAGTAGGATACGTTTTTTAAATTGTTCCAAGGGTGGATTTTCGCTGGAAGTTAAAATGTTTATACAATAGGTGTGTTCTGGAGCAAAAAATATTGCCAACTTAAATTTACTAACTGATTGATGTTCTCGTTTCTTTTCGTGGCCCCCTCAACTATTTCTATTACAGTTTATACAGCGACGATCCTGATTGATGATAGTTTGAGTTTTACGCGATACGTTGCAGGTTCTATCTGTATACCTGTAAGGTTGGCGAACTCTGCAGTAATGAGCTCAATAGCAATCGTTAATTAACGTATAAGTAAACGTAAAGTAATACGAAATCTGTCAGTAACATCACTTACGCTTTATACATTGTTGGGGAAAGTCGTATTTGAAAGAATTGCGGTGTTATAGTTAAAAAGAAGTTTGAGTAAAAGTTTGAGTCAGTTTTTATCATATAAAAAGTCACATGTAAAAATCGGTTATTAAGAAAATTTAGGAATTTGTTAACACATTTTCTAAATTCGAACAATAAAAAGTTGAGCAAATAGAATCGGCTAGATCTATTTCGAACATAGTTTTTTGGAGGTCCCACCCAGATAACCAATCGTGGGTCGTACTAACGCACTCGACAAAATGCAAAGGTGCTGAACGTGGAAGGACGACAAAAGAAGTTCGAGAATTATTAGATTCTGGATCTCAAAAGTCTTGCGTAGTGGAGAAACTAGGTAAAGAAATCGACATGGTTGCAACCGGCGAAGAACATCTACTACTTATTTGGAGGAGTGAATCGGAGATATCCATGGTGTGATGAAACTTAAAATGGGGTTGTGTATATTACAGTCGGTAAAACCCAAAACCCAAAAAGACAAAACCTTCGCCATACTACTTTAATAGACAAATTATAAAAGCAGCGACTAGTTTCAACCAACGGTCATCTTCTGGTTACAATATCTGTTACAGATATATGAAACTTACAGTATAAAAGTACATACCTTAAGGAAATTACAGAATAAAACTTTTTAAAACATTTAGAAGTACACAATTCAAAATTTGTAAGACAGCATGCTGTCAGATATTGTAGCCAGAAGATGACCGTTGGTCGAAACTAGTCGCTGCTTTTATAATTTGTCTATTAAATTAGTATGGGGAAGGATATGTGACTTTTTGGGATTTAACGACTCTAATATTTGGAGTAGTACACAAAAACATAAAAATACAAGATTGAAATTTCTATGTAAGGCACAAATGGTATTTTGATTTTGACGACTCAAATTCACCAAGAATTTCTGAAAGTATTTATACCTTTCCTCATGGTCCATGGGTTCAAGAACTGGAAAATTATCACGTCTGTCTCACCGACACAGGAAGTTATCATGAAGAAATAGAAGTACTCGTCGGAGGTGAGGTGTTGGGCAAGTTGCCATATCTCGATAACGTTGTATCTGAAAGAGCTGGTAAATGAAAAGGATAAACTAATTAAGATTCAGGAAATTACAATAAACTAATCACAAAGTCAAGTTCTGCTTTTAAACATTTTGTAATCGGCAAATGTTGTTAAGATAGATATCAATGTGATGGTCGCGGCCTCGACCTCCAACGTTCGGTCAAACAAGCATACTTTCTCTGTTATCAAATAAGAATATGCAACTAAAATGATCGCTAATTAGGATAAAATAAAAAATGCTAATGAGGCCAATTGTGGGTAATAATAATCAAGGTTCTTCCTGTCACCTAAAGGCAACCAGGCAGAGAGCTTACCTACACGTTTACAAACTACATCCCTCAACCACCGTTGACATGCTACAGCGGTATCTACGACAAATGTTTTTGGAAGCTGAATGTGACCATCTAGAATCAACACACCTCATATTATTCATTCAAGTTACTGTTCACCTTTCAAATCTTGAACAGAAGCTGCAGGAATTCCCTATACTATGCACACGTTTTCACGCTCCCTGTGAGGTAGTGTACTTGATGCGGTTTTTTTTAACGTGATTTCCCCAGTAGGCCTATTCCATGAACCAACCGCTTTTGAGACATAAAGATGATTCACGTGCTCTAATACGAGGAGAACTTATTTTAGATGTACTGGCTTCTTCCTTGTTGTCTTTCAACTGCAGCCTGCAGTAGTACTCTTTCGGGTGTAGTTTTTAAATCAGTAAATTAAGTGTGATAATCTATCCTAAAGGGTAGTTTATACGGGATAGTAAATTGCGATAGTACTTCTGAGAGTAACTTGCACTAGCGTTTACATACAAGTAAACTGTAAAAAGTAATTTCTCTAAGCAAGTACTCTCAGGCACTTTTGAGCTATAAATTTTAATGCGGAAATTCTTCCAAAGTGTGGCGATTGTATCACACTTTTGATCTCTAGTTTTTTCCGTTGTAACAAAACTTTCGTGTAAAAATAAAATTATCCGATTAAAAATCAAGCTCTTGTGTATTTACCCCCAATTAAAAATATTAGAATGGGAAACAAATGAGCGTATAATCAAAGGTGGCTAACATTCTATTATTTTTAATCATTGATTAACCTTAATTATCGTTTGTGCAAGGTGATTCAGATCACGCAAAACTAGGTCGCGATAGAAACTAATACTTGTGTTATGCAGTGCCCTTAATAAGTTAATATAAAAATGCACAAGGTTATCTGATCATATGACTATTCGTAACTGTAGTTCAGTTAAGTTCGAAACTCAGAAATGAACCGATGGAATGGAAAGGTTGCAATAGTCACCGGTGCTAGTTCCGGCATTGGAAAAGCGATCGCGACAAAGCTCGTCGAAAATGGAATGATCGTAAGTACCTACCAAAACTGAGGATCACTATAACAAACTATTTAAGGTTGCAGGACTGGCCAGGCGTAAGGGGTTGGTAGATGAACTGGTCGCCAAGCTAAAGGGAGCGAAAGGAGAGCTCCATGGAGTTCAGGCTAACATGACCAACGAAGAAGAAATCTTAAAAGCGTTTGAATATGTAGCCAAAAATTTAGGCCCGGTTCATGTACTGGTTAACAGCGCGGGTATTAGTCGCGTTTCGCCATTGACATGTGGAAGGACGGACCAATGGAAAGATGTTTTGGAAACAAATGTTATAGGGCTATCCATTGCAACAAGAGAGGCGGTGAAAAGCATGTCTGTAAACAACGTGGATGGACACATAATACACATAAACAGCGTCGTTGGACATTCTTTCAGAAAAACAAGCAGCGCCATGTACGGGGCATCAAAGTTTGCAGTGACCGCACTCACCGATGCCTTAAGAGACGAACTCAATCAAGCAAAAAGCAAGATCAAAATTACGGTTGGTATTAAACCATTGAAAGTATTCGCATTCGGTATTTTATTTTAGAGCATCAGTCCAGGCTTCGTTGACACTGAAATATTGGATAGAGTTTCGGAACACAGCGACGGTCTGCTCCCAATGGAATACGTACATCATTTTAAGCTTAACCCTTCACTCAAAGCGGAAGACGTCGCCGATTGCGCCTTGTATGTTCTAAGCACACCACCACACGTACAGGTAAATTGGAAATTGTGGTTGTTTGAACAATCTTACCGTCTTTCTAATTTCAGGTTCACGACATCATTCTTAGACCTATGGGTGAGACCGCTATATAATTGAGTTGCATATGAAGTTTAATAAAAAATATAGTAATATGTCTCATAGTTTTCTGTCCATTGCACAAAATAGGCTTGCGCTCAAAGTTATCGATATTTACAGAAAACACGGCCCTGTCATTCTAATTAATCAGCAAATAAACGTTATCAATAGATATGATCATGCTTCTAACCTCCATTAAGAGTTGAAAAGCCTTTGGGTTAAATCGCGCATGCGCAAGTGCGTCAAAGTCTCATTTCCGGCTAAACTATTGTTGAACCGATTGGAAGCAAAAGGGCGATTTAGAAGCAGAAGTGAATGAAAAATGACTCATACAAGAAATCGTCAACTGTGAAAACCTTGCAAAGGGGATCTTGGCGGATTAAGATTAACGGAGGGATGATAGGAACTTAAACAGGACATGATATTTGAATTAAAAAAAAGAAAGATGATGCTCAGGAAAAGCATTTTAAAGAGTCTCGAGATGAGTGAAGAAAACTTTAAGTAGTGCATAGAAGAAATCATAACCGAATATTGGAAAGTTAACAGGTAGGTTTAAAGAAAATAGGGGTGATGCGGATTTAGAATGAAAGGATAATTAGTAAAATACAACCGTGTGAAAAATGAAGGCCCGATGTCTTTCTGGCAACAAATTCCTGCAATTAGTGAATACATACCATGGATTCTGATAACTGGGAGCTGTACTTAAATTGATGCTTATGGATTAAACGACAACAAACAACAATTTGCTTATTTTTTTATCGTGGAACAGGGGCGGAAAATTTAAAGCCATTTAATTCCACAAAACCAACAACGAAACTATCATCGCATTTTATGAAAACGATACGTATAATAACTGCACGATCATTTTTGGCAATGTGTTAAAAGCAAAATAAAAGTTATTCCGAATGGGATGCAGAATTTCGTGGACTAGCTTCCCATTGTGCTTTCACGTGTCCATAACAATCACCTATTGATGAACAAATCAGAACTATGATTTTCACTTCACTCCGCATGAAAAAATTCCTAATACTGCTTTAGTTGAGGAAAATCCTTCTTTAGAAAAAATCCAAAACCTACTATGCTGCTAACCAAACATTAACCAACAATAACTTATTATTATTACTGTTATAATTCATCAGAAATTAATCTTATGCGTTAACCTTTCTCGTTCACAATCACGGTGAAGTACATAAAGCCAAAATGGTACCCAACAAATTCAAATCCTGTCCAAGTTGTGCAAGTACAAACTCACAAGTAGTCAGACTGCCGCTATTTTAACAGCACTTGTAACAAATGTGGTCGTTTGCGCGTTCACATTTCCAAACCTGATGGTTCAGTTCTCGTTCCTTTCTTGACAATGAGCAATATCCTGTGCTTGACCCGGAAGAGCTTTTCCATAAATTGCAAAATGGCGTTTGCTTTACAAAATTGATCTATCGGATGCACACTTGCAGATGGAATTAGATGAAGAATCAAAGGAAGATAGTCATAATTAGAACTCCATACAGACCCTTTGAATATCAAAGACTAGCTTTTGGAATATGTAGCGCATCCATCAATTTTCCAACGTTTTATTGAATAAGTAGTATCAGGAGTTGGTGCAAATTATTTAGATGCAATTATCATCACAGGAAAGATAGACGAAGAACATATGGCATTAACAAATTTTTAAACGTCTAAAATTGCATGAACTTGGTTCAGTTAAGTGCGAATTCTTTAAACCTGAAGTAGAATATCATGGTAACGTAATCTCGAAATTGTTATTTACATAAAAGTCAGGAAAATGACACATTACTGGCGAGGAAATATCCGAGTCAGGTAATGTCATTTTACTGATGAGTTTTGTATTCAATTTTACTCAAAATCGTATTTTAATATAAAATTTCAATTTTTATACAGAACTTTTGATTAATGTCATCATCATAGACATTTAGAAATGTCACAGATGCGGCCAGTAAAGTGACAAGCGACAGGAAACGTAGTCTGCTCTGCCTCTATCATGAAAACTAAAATTTCCTGACAGAAAGTAGGCCTGAAACTGAAGATTTCAGGACGATTTTGGGTAAAATGTATCGACCTTCAGATTCGGGAATAACTGCAGTTAAACAATTACCACGACCCCCAATTCTTCTTCAGTTACAATCATTTTTGGGGAAAGTAAACTATTATAAGTTCATACGGAATTTTTTTCAACAAGCCGCTCTTGTGCACTTCGCACAAAAGATGCAGCATTCAAGTGGACCAAACTGGAAGATGATTCTTTCTTACATTTACAATTAAAATGAAAGAAAGTTGAAACTTCAAGATTAGTTTATGATTCTTCTTATGGTATTGGGGCCGTGCTTTCTCATAGTTTCCCTGATGGAACTGAAAAGCCTATCGCTTTTGCTTCAAAAACGATGAATAATCTGGAAAAAAATTACAGTCACATTGAAAAGAAAAGAAGCACTCGGGATCAAGAAATTTTTTTCTTCATGAAGGTTACCAGAAAATATAGTATCTGACAATGGCCCACAGTTAACGTATCAACAATTTAAAAACTGCTGTAATTCTCATGGAATTGCAACCGGTCTTTTCACCCAGCTTCAAATGGGGAAGCAGAAAGGTTTGTACGTACTTTTAAAAACGCAATGCTAAAATTTGTAAGGGAGGAGGAAGTAATCAATCTCGTGCATTAGATGAAATGTTATTAGCTCATCGTTCAACACCTAACCCCTTAATAGGAAAATCACCTGCAAAGCTCTTACATTCTAGACAACCGCGTGCACAGTTCTCATTGATGCTACCTCAAGAGAAAAGAAGAGATTCTTATAAATAGTCAGTGCCTATGCCTACTATCGAAGCAAAAAGTTTATGTACTCGAGTTTGAAGCTTAATAAAACACGTAAAAAGCCCTAAGGCGAGTAGTTACATGCATTGATCAGTACTTCCCAAAAGCATTTGGTCTATGCAAGGCATTGCCATATGCGCTATGTTTTTCTCTACTAGAGGCATCTATGGTTAAAATTTCAAAGAAATATCTCCATAAATAAGAAAGTTGGCATTGAGCAATCTGCGCATGCACATATCTGACTTTTACTATGTGCTTGCTTTTACTAGTAGTCTCTGTGTTTAAAATTTCAACAAAATATATTAATAAATAAGAAAGTTGATATTGCAGCATGCGCACATTCATCGTCATGATTTTTCATGGCTCAGGTGCCAGAGCTATAAGATACCGAATTCAAAAAGAACGAATTAAATATATTGAAAACTATAGTAGTAAAAGGCCTCGGACGGACGGACAGACAGAGAAAGTGGATCGATTTTAATGGGAGTTGTACTAAATTAAAGCCTGTTTTTTTCAGATCCGCACTTCTTCAACGTGACGATGCATATCGGATAGTGTGTTTGAGATAAATGAGTACCTATTTATTATTTTCCCCCTAAAAGTAATCGGGATCCTTTCGGTTTCGGTTTGGATCAAATATGTGCAACTGCTTCGGGGAATAACTGAGACTTGATATGATATCTTTGATTAAACGGGTATTCTATAGGCCGCCAAGTTAAGTTTTGGTTATTTATTTCTTTGGTACTCGATAGTTGCTCTAGTCCAAACTCATCATTTCCTATACTTTACGGCAGAAATTTGGAGTTTGTACCTAGCAAAGCAAGGTGATCTTTAGATAAAGTAAAATTATGTCGCGATAGCAACTAATTCTCTCAAAATCGATTTCGAAACACTTGATTACAATGTACTTACACACCTTGGACCCTCCCGAATATTCTAGCAAATCCGAAGCCATCGCGTTATGAAGTGCACTTCATAATCAGTAAATATAAAAATGAACAAGGTTCTATTTCACTATTCGTAACTGTAGCTCAGATAAACGCGTTACTCAAAAATGGATCGATGGAATGGAAAGGTTGCAATAGTCACCGGTGCTAGTTCCGGCATTGGAAAAGCGATCGCGACAAAGCTCGTCGAAAATGGAATGATCGTAAGTACCTACCAAAACTGAGGATCACTATAACAAACTATTTAAGGTTGCAGGATTGGCCAGGCGTAAGGGGTTGGTAGATGAACTGGCCGCCAAGCTAAAGGGAGCGAAAGGAGAGCTCCACGGAGTTCAGGTTAACATGACCAGCGAAGAAGACATCTTAAAAGCGTTTGAATATGTAGCCAAAAATTTAGGCCCGGTTCATGTACTGGTTAACAGCGCGGGTATTAGTCGCGTTTCGCCATTGACATGTGGAAGGACGGACCAATGGAAAGATGTTTTGGAAACAAATGTTATAGGGTTATCAATTGCAACAAGAGAGGCTGTGAAAAGCATGTCTGTAAACAACGTGGATGGACACATAATACACATAAACAGCGTCGTTGGACATTCTTTCAGAAAAACAAGCAGCGCCATGTACGGGGCATCAAAGTTTGCAGTGACCGCACTCACCGATGCTTTAAGAGACGAACTCAATCAAGCAAAAAGCAAGACCAAAATTACGGTTGGTACTAAAACCATACACTGTGAAAGTATTCACATTGTGCATTTTATTTTAGAGCATCAGTCCAGGCTTCGTCGACACCGAAATGTTGGAAAAAGTTTCGGAAAACAGCGACGGTTTGTTCCCAATGGAATACGTCCATCATTTTAAGCTTAACCCTTCACTCAAAGCGGAAGACGTCGCCGATTGCGCCTTGTATGTTCTCAGCACACCACCACACGTACAGGTACATTGAAAACTGTGGTTGTTTGAACAATCTTACCGCCTTTCTAATTTCAGGTTCATGACATCATTCTTAGGCCTGTGGGCGAGACCGCTATGTAATTAGTTGCATATGAAATTTAATAAAAAATATTATAATATGGCTCATAGTTTTCTGTCCATTGCTGGCGTTCAAAGTTATTCATATTTACAGAGAACACGGCCCTGTCATTCTAATTGATCACCAAATAAACGTTATCAATATATATGATTAATCCTCTAACCTCCATTAAGAGCTGAAAAGCTTTTGGATAGAATCGCGCATGCGCAAGTGTGTCAAACTTTCATTTCCGGTTAAACGGTTGTTGAACCGATTGGAACCAAATTTCTTAGACATAAAAGGGCAGAATCGCTCATGCGAAAATGTGCGGGTGGTATCTGTGCTAGCCACAGCAAATTTATTTATACTTGATTCAATATTTTGTG